TAATTTTTTATTCTTCCCCCAGATGCTTCCCCTGATGGCTCTCCAGAAGTCAGCTTGGAGGAGGATGAAACAGTCCCAGGCACATCAGGTGAGTTGGTCAATGCCTCCGGGCAGCCAACCAAGAGTGATTTGGCTGAAGCACAGCTGCAACAGGGCAGCCCTGAGGCTTCAGGTGGGGAAAGAACTCAGCTGCAGAGGGTTAGTGTTGAGGAGGAACTGCTTTCTGCACCTCATCTGAGAACAGGTAGGGCAGAGAAAAGGGGGGAGCAGTGAAGGTCATCCCAATTACTTGCAAGGAAGTAGTCTCGCCCTTGTTGATGGGTTGTACCAAAAGCTGGCACAGCAGACAGACAGAGGCGATGCTGGGAACTTCTTCATGAGCAGGGGGTTGACTAGAAGATCTTCAAGGTCCCTTCCAACTCTGTTATTCTGTTCTGTTATTCTGTTTCAGCTACGGAGACAGAGGGCGGGATCACCATCACCTCAAGGAGCCACTTCCCATCCACCCACCCACCAGGAACTTTCCAAAACCCAATATATTAATAGTAGTGATTCTAAGATTTTTAATAATTACTTTGTAAATGTTGTAATTAAAATAAGGTTTACTTTTATATTTCACCAACCAAATATTGTCGAACAAATTATTTTAATATATTATTAGTATATTTTTGAGTAGATGTATATATAATAATAAAATGTTCATCTGATTAAGTCTTTATTTAAAAAAGGCAGATATCTGATTATGACAATCAAACATAATTTTTTATCTGATAGATGCAACTGTTTCTGTCTTCTTTAGTGTACTTGCAAGTTTCCTTCCAAATCACTGGGGGGCAGGCTGGCCTTGTGCTCCTCTGAAAAAAATACTTTCCTATTGAGGTTGTGAGTTCACCATTAAAGCTATCAGTCCCTCTGGTGTCCCTCACCTCAAAGTTATGCCTAAAGATTGAGCTATACCTATATGGACATGCAGGCATGCAGGTGTTTAATAAATTTAAATGTTTCTCAATTGCTTCATTATTGAAACAACTATCAGTCCACCCAAATTGGGGGTGGGGTGGGGGAGTTGCTGCATTCTCTCTTGCCAGCACATCAATATGCTATATTTTCACTACATCCACTCTATTTTGTCCGTAATATTTTTACCAAGACAAATCTGCTCATACTTTGTCCAAGACGTTCCTTCTCACTTAGTCAATGTCTTCTAATGCTGGAAATTTAGCCTTGAAGAATCTTCCTTATCTTAGTGATCTCCAATTTTATTTTGATATGAACAACCCCACCCCCCCACCCCCAGGTCAGACCTGACTCTTTTTGGGGAGGGATATATATTTGATCCAGATCTACAAGTAGTAAATCAGTACTTCATTAATCAGTAGTAAACTTAGAATTTAAAAATGTTAACCTGTAGAGATCTTCTATCCATATGGGTAATTTGTCTGAGCATAGTTGTGGTTTTGCAAAATTGTAATCGAAATGAAATGAAGAATTGTTGCAGCTCAAAGAAAAAATATAAAAATGAAAACATTAAAAAAACAAGAACAATCATGCCATCTTCAATATCTGAAGTCTGAGGGATTCATTCAAGGTGAATTCATTAGAGTTGTACAGTGCTCAGATTTGATTCCAAAAAGGTGATTCAGTATATGTAAAAAAGGACCAACAACCCTGCACTTCTTTTAACACACCAGCATCTTTTCTTGGGATGGCACAGCAATTCCTCCCTGTTTCAGCCATGTATTTTAAAGGGATAATCAAAATCTTTCTAATATTTAGAACAAAGCTAAATAAACTCTGGATGTTAGAAAAGCTGACCAGGACCAAGTTCAGATCTCCAAATTCCATAAAGTTCACTTGTCATTTTTCTGCTCTAAGCCCAAATCGCCTCACAGGGTTGTTGTGAAGTTAAAATGGGAGGACGAGAACAAAACACACTCTTCCAATTATATTCTCAATACTGCTGTCATAAGCATGTAGATACCCGCACATGCCAGCTTTTAAAAGGAGAAAGTACATAGCATATGTTAAGAAAGGCAGCCACATAGTCTAATCAGTTCAGAAAATTTTCACAGCTATATTTAAGAAATGAAGAAGTGAAATATGGTCTAAGTGAAGCAAATGAGGAAGGAAAGAAAATAAGACTCCCTTAAGAGCTAAGAAGAGAGAAATGGCACAATGAAATCATCTTAGGCAGAAAGAGAAAGAACTGTGGAAGAAAACAGAAGCAGTATCTCATTTGCTCTCAAGTAAGCTTATTTTGTTTCTTTTTCTCTAACAACCTCTCTGGCTTGTTTCAGATCAGTTTAACCTTATAACAATTAATCATGACTCAGATTCCAGAGACTTCTCGGGGATTCATGTTCAATTGAATTGACATGGACATTTAAATTTTCCATTCAGAATGGAATGAGGGAGAAATTGGTTGGACTATATTCATAATTTGATAACAAATTCCAGCACATGACATAATGGCTTTGAATGTAATAGGAAGTAAAATGGATGAATTTGCCCATCCAAGTACAAGGTTTCAAAACTTAGCTCTTTATGTTTGTGGTGTTAATTGAGAATTGTCCCCTTTTCTTTTCTCTTCTTGTCTGCCCTTCTAATTGGGACTGGTTCCTCACCATTAACGTGGCAAGTAGATCCCATGATGCCTGAAATAGCTATAACTAATGACTTTCACTGGACCAGATACATAAGGAATTAATTATGCTCCTTTTGCTTGACTTCTATAGAATCTTAAATCTTAATCCCCCTATGCCCCACAACAGCAAGGTTTTGAAGGACAGCACCTCGTGACATACCAATTTAAGCTATCACACAGTTGAGACAATTTAAATTCCTATTTAACTTTCCCAATTTTAAAGCTGTGTTTTCCCTCTTCTTCTCCTGATAAAACTTTGGTCATGGGCTTGAGCTACTATCTTGCTTGATGAGATGCTGAGACATAAAAATCCCTGCCGCCCTGAAGGAGGCGGTGGTGAGGCCCCTCCTCAAGAAGCTTTCCCTGGACCCGGCAGTATTGGCCAATTATCGTCCGGTCTCCAACCTTCGTTTTGTAGCGAAGGTTGTTGAGAGTGTGGCTGTGGGACAGCTTCCCCAGTACCTGGATGAAGCGTCGTATCTGGATCCGTTCCAGTCGGGTTTCAGGCCTGGGTACAGCACAGAAACGGAATTGGACACGTTGGTTGATGATCTCTGGAGGGCTCGGGACAGGGGTTGCTCCTCTGTCCTGGTCCTGTTAGATCTCTCAGCGGCTTTTGATACCATCGACCATGGTATCATGCTGCACCGGTTGGAAGAGTTGGGGGTGGGAGGCACCATACTAAGGTGGTTCTCCTCCTTTCTCTCTGACCGGTCGCAGTCTGTGTTGACAGGGGGGCAGAGGTTGACCCCGAGGCCCCTTATATGTGGGGTGCCACAGGAATTGGTCCTCTCGCCCCTTCTGTTCAACATTTATGTAAAGCCGCTGGGCGAGATCATCCGTGGTTTCGGGGTGAAGTACCATCAGTATGCTGATGACACCCAGCTGTACATCTCCACCCCAGACCACCCCAACGATGCCCTTGAAGTGATGTCCCAGTGCCTGGAGGCCGGACGGATCTGGATGGGGAGGAACAGGCTCAGGCTCAACCCATCCAAGACTGAGTGGCTGTGGTTTCTGACGTCCCGATATAGTCAGCTGGTGCCATCGCTGATTATTGGGGGTGAATCATTGGCCCCCACGGATAGGGCTCACAACTTGGGCATCCTCCTGGATTCACGGCTGTCTTTAGAAGAGCACATGACGGCCGTGACCGGGAGGATTTTTCATCAGGTTCACCTGATCCGCCAGTTGCGTCCCTTTCTAGATCGGGACTCCCTATGCACAGTCACTCATGCCCTCGTTACCTCTCATCTGGACTATTGCAACGCTCTCTACATGGGGCTCCCCTTGAGGTGCACCCGGAGGCTCCAACTGGTGCAGAGTGTGGCTGCGCGGGTGGTTATGGGAGCGATGTGGAGTTCCCATGTAACACCTCTCCTGCGCGAGCTGCACTGGCTCCCGGTGGTCTTCCGGGTGCGCTTCAAGGTTCTGGTTATCACCTTTAAAGCGCTCCATGGCTTAGGACCTGGTTACTTATGGGACCGCCTGCTACCACCAATAGCCTCCCACCGGCCAGTACGCTCCCATAGAGAGGGGCTCCTCCAGGTGCCGTCGGCCAAACAATGTCGGCTGTCGGCCCCTAGGGGGAGAGCCTTTTCTGTGGGGGCACCTACGATCTGGAACGAGCTCCCCCCGGAGATACGGAGGATCCCAGATCTGCGCACCTTCCGCCGCGCGCTTAAGACTTTTCTATTTCATCAAGCTGGCCTGGCCTAAATCTTCCCCCTTTTAATGTGGAAATTTTAAATTTGTTTTAATTATAGGGTTATGGGTAAGGCATTTTAAATTGGGGAGCCATTTTGGATTTAATTTTGTTTTAAATGTATTTTAATGTTTATATTGTATGTTTTTTAATCTTGGCTGTTCACCGCCCCGAATCCTTCCGAGAGGGGGCGGTATAAAAATTTAATAAATAAATAAATAAATAAATAATAAATAAATAGGGAGTGGGATGTGCTCAATTCTACTGGCATTTGAGGCTGCTACGGACATGCCCCTTTCCCTTCAATTGCCTGGAGTTTGAGCACAGGCTGCCAGAGAGACTGGACACATGTATAAGTATGTGCATGGGTTTGGTTTGGTTTGGTTTGGTTTGGTTTGGTTTGGTTTGGTTTGGTTTGGTTTGGTTTGGTTTGGTTTGACTTGTTTTGCTGGAGCAGTTGGTCTTTGGACAAAAGAAGACACTGTCAATGACTTTGGTCTATTAGCAAACTGCATCTCAGTCTGTCTTCTCTCCCTACTTCATTTTTGTCATTTTCTTCCCCAGCTTTCCTGTTCCTTCTGGTCTGTGGTTGGATGTAGGTATGTCAAAAAACGCAATTCTATTGCTCAGCAAATCTGGCTAAGGTAGGAGGAAGAGAGGAAGCAAGCTTCCTGTAACAATCAGCTGCAGTTGAGCAAGACATGAAGAATGGGGGATGTGTTATTGCTTAACATATAACCACGTCATTGGAGAAGGAAACAATGTAATGAAGCAGAAGGTTGGTGGGGGAGGGGGAAGAACTACCAAGAGGGATTTTGAGATGAAAGAGGCAGTCATAGGACGGGGGATCTGTGGCAGAAACCTGTGGGATTCTCTCAAAGAATACCTCCTTTCTGCGTGATATGCTCTGTCCTCTGCCTGTGTACTATGCTCAAGGCTTTGTAGTGATGAGCAAAAAAAAAAAAAAATACTGAAGCCTACATCTGGTAATTGTTGCGTCTATGCTTGAAAGGGGAACCTAATCCAGAGAGGTGATAGCAGGAAGAAAAAGTGCACTGACCTTTCAAGAACAAGAGCTAACACAAACACACATAATGGAAGAAGAGCATGCTGTAGGGGAAGGGGGGAAGGCAGCAGACAATTTCATTTTGAAGAGAAATGAAAGAAAGAGGGTCTAATGCTGTAGAGCTATAAGTTTTTTCAGTTTTGAGCATCTGGCAGATTCCTTTGTTTATGTGAGTAAAAATACAATAAAAGAGAAATGAAAAATAAAGTTCCTTCCCCCTTGGCCCTATTTGTTCCCCATACCTGCAACTACATCTGTAGTCCTGGGATTAAGTACACTGCTACATTTCAGAAATCAGGTTCCTTGGGCAAACTGTAAGGTGACTCAAGCCTCCTTCCCAGGGATTTGCCTATGCTTATCCCACACACTCTACCCCATTGCTGACCTTGTTACAGAGGTAGAATTGGGCTCTGGTGGCAACACAATTTAAACAGGTATACTGTTTTGCTGAGTCAAAACCTAGAGAAATGCATGTTATTGTTGTGAGAAAGAACCCTAAGTCTTGTAAATTTCTGTTCATCAACTGTATAGAGAAACAATAAACCTGAAATAAAATAAGTGAAAAAGGAAGTTCATAAATTGTAAAATTGATATTCTCCATGCAGTCATTATCAGTTTACTTATTGATTTCCATTTACTAACTTACTAATATTTGCCTGACAGTGTAGTAACAAGTACTATACCTCATTTAATTTGACATAGCTCACTTTATATTTCAGATTCAAGCAAAGCCTGACTTATAACTGAAGATTTCAGTCTGAATGCAAAAGGAAAATATCTTGGTGTTTTGCATCTAACCTAAAGACTAATATGAATTGGAAACTCGTGGGTACACTAGTGCCAACTTTGACTATTAAGCTAATAGGCAGTTCTCTGTTCTTTGTATATTGTATGTATTATATTGATTTTTATTATCAATCTTCTAATTTTGGAAAATAATGGTTAATAATGCTACCTTTGCATGTCATGCCATTCTTGTGATGTGTCCATTTTCAACCATAGCAGTTCTTTTGACGAATGTAGCACTGACCAAAATTCCATATGCAAAATATATTGCCATTGTTATTATCGTTATTCTCTCTCATACAGAGAACGAGAGAGAGAGAGATCTATTAGAACAAGTTACAGATCATTTCCATCAGTGTTTTAACTAGCATGGGAAGTTTTTATAGATCATGAAAGGAAATTCTCAACTGCATGAGTCACCTTCTATATGAGAAAGATAATACAACTGGGAGGGAGTAGGTGGGCTTGAATTTAGTGAGCAATTTTTTGTGAATGACCTTGATAGCTTTTTAAATGCCTGCTTATATTAAGAGTCATTTGTATTCAGTTTCACAGATCTTCTCAGAAGTCCCCAAAATCACCTCACCAGGAAAAACCAGTGAGTTTGCAATGTGAATGCCACCAGTGAGTTTGCAATATGAATTCTCCTCCCTTCTGGACACTGAAGCCATTTCCCCATTTTCTTTAGGCTGCCCCTTAAGGTGGACTCTGTATGAAGGAAAGTGCTACTACTTTACTACGCTGCGAAAAACATGGGATGAAAGCCAAAAAGAATGTGTCTCGTTAAATTCTCATCTTGCCGTTATCAGCAGCAAAGCAGAACTGGTGAGGAGATAGAATGGATAGTAAAAAAAAAAAAAAAAATAGCAAGTATTTTGGGACAAACATTTAAAATTTATTACACTTCCATAAAATAATGTGTAACTGTCTCCTTCCCCATCAAACAATTTACCTTTAAATGGAAATTAGGACATAGTTGCAGCCAGCTTTAAGCCCTCCTTTTGCTCATGCCTGTTTGATTCTAGTTCAGTTTAAGAAAATCTAGCCAGACAGAGCTATTTTGGCAACAGCTAGCAAAGTATTCAATTCAGGTCTGAAGCATTTTTTAAAAAATATTATTTATTTCTAAGTATAGATAGTGCTCAACTTATGACCATAAATTGAGCCCAAAATTTTGCTGCTAAGTGAAACATTTGTTGAGTGAGTTTTGCCCATTTTATGATTTTTCTTGCCACCATTGTTAAGTGAATCACTTCAGTTGGTAAGTTAGTAACACGGCTGTTAAGTGAACCTGGCTTCCCCATTGACTTTGCTTGTCAGAAGGTCGCAAAAGATGATCACATGACTTCAGGCCACTGCAACCGTCATAAATAGGAGTCAGTTGCCAAGCGTCTGAATTTGATCATGTGACCATTGAGATGCTGCAATGGTTTTAAGTGTGAAAAATGGTGATAAATCACTTTCTTCAGTGACATTGTAACGTTAAACCACCACTAAATGAACTGTTGGAAATAGAAGACTACCTGCAGCTATTTTTTTCACTTTTTAAATTCCAACAGTGCATTGTTTCATCATTTTTCCAGTCACTTGAGATAAAATTACCTCAGGTGATCAGAAAAACAATGAAAGGGTGTGCACCACTGAACCTATTTTAAAGAAGAAAGCCCTGTGAAAAGAAAGTAGTTCAGGAAAAGAAAAATAGTAATTTAAAAACACACATACATATTTGGGATAGATTTAGAACTGGCAACATTCCAGATATTAAGCAACTGTATGAAATTAGTTTTAAAAGCTGTTCCAGATATTAGAAACCATGGCAACTATTTCCTCAGGTGAGAGGGTATTTTTGCCTCTGAAAAATAACCACACAAATTGTAAGATTTAGATCTAGAAGAAAGTGGCAAGCAAAATCTTTCTGAAGTGTTGGTGGGTTGTTATTGTTTTTAATTACTATTTTTTCCCTCTTGAGTTGAGGAAAAGTAGTGGTATAACCAGTGTTAAAACATTCTAAAAGTAGAACAGGACAAATCTGGAAGCCCGTTCTCTTCAGCTACTGTGAGGAAATGACTTTCACAAATACTGTGTGTGAGGGAGAAATCTTGAAATTAAATGCTTTCTGTTCTCTTTTAATTTTCTTTCCTTAAAGAATATGCATTTGATTGGCCCAATTCCATAGAGCTTAGAATTGATACTATATTAAAACCTACAAGGAATGCTTTGTATTTATTTGAAATAGAAGCTGTTGTACAGATAGAGATAAACTTGATACTGAAAAGGGTACCGATAACCCAGTTCCAAAGGCTTCTCTGCCCTCCCCCACAGTCACATGACTGCATTTTAGGCACTCAACAACCAGCCCACATTTATGGATGTTTACAGCATCCCACAGTCACGTGACTGATTTATAATGTTTTTGCCAGAAGCCAGCATTTTCTTCTAGTTTATGTCAAAAAAAGCCCCATAGCCAGAGGTGGATTTGCTTAATAACTACAGAGTTCACTTGGCAACTATGTTGTTTGCTTTACAATTGCCACAGTCTCTTAATAACAACTGCAAAGAAGATCACAAAATTGGACAAGATCATGTGATAACCCAAATACTGACTATCACAATTTACAGTCATAATTGGGGGGCCAATTAACGTTGTAAGTCAAGGACTATCTGTAATGCATAAGGTATGCATAGTTTATGTTGATGTAATTTGAATGCAACTTATACAAATATAGTAATAACTTTATTGTCATTGTATGTGTATACACAGTATATCCACACAACGAAATTCACTTAACACCCAAAGACCAGGTCCAACACACATAACAATCTTCAAACACACTCCCACCCACCACAATTCCACACCACTAAACCACCCAAACATCCACACAACAGACCAACAGCTGTCCAACAGCTCACTGATGATGGCCCTTTAGTTCATTGTTGAGTTCAATTATAGCTCTGGGATAAAAACTATTCAGAAAACATGTGGTCCGAGTTTTAATTGTTCTGTATCTTCTGCCAGAAGGCAACAGTCCAAAAATATTGTAAGCAGGATGGGAATAATGTATGTTTACACAGGGTCTGTCCTTTTCCTTTATTCTATAGATACTTTGCAGGTCCATAACATAATTTGGTGTCACTGTATTTCATAACATTTTGTTCCTGTGTATCCTATCCAGGCATTCCTGAACAACAAAACACAAAATGCAGATTACTTCATTGGCCTGAGACAGAGAAATGGAGAGTGGAAGTGGATTGACAATACAAAATTTGACCCTGGCATGTAAGTTTTATTAGACCTCTAATCATTATTGTTTATACAGAGTAGGAGTAGGGCACTTTGGACAGCTGACTGCATCTGACAGCAAACATGGATGTATACCTTGACTGGCCTTCAAGAAGAACATTTAAAATTCCAAAACTTCGGATCCTGATCTTGTTTACTCTGATTACTCTGTCCACTGCAGTTTTTGGCATTTAAAGAAGTGTGGCCCCCTGTTCACTCAAAGGTTGTCTGCTCCTAACTAAGAATGAAGGAGAAGTCAGCTCTCCTTGCCTGTGGCTAGTAATATTGATCTATTCTGGATTGTTGTGGAAAAAAATATTATTGTATATACTTACAGATAAGCCCATCTGTGGATAAGTTGATCCTTGCATTGATAGATGTTCGGGTATGAGAAAGTGTGATAGAGTAATCATTCCATGGGATGTGCTGGCCTATTGGGAAAGCAATCTCAATCGAGAAGTAACCCACACAAAAAACATACTAGGCTAAAAAAAAAGACCACAGGTTACCTAAATTTAACATGACATATGGCAAATACTCAGGCATTAATTCACCCATCATATGGAAGGTGAAATGTATATACTATTCTGATGGTGTTTTAGGTATCTCTTTCTGCAACTACTAGTGCCCAGTATATATAAGTGCAAAAATCTATGAGTGCAATTCCCAGCAGAGGTTTGACCTCTCTATAATAAACTCTGGCTATCTGTGTCTGAAAAGTCCCAATAAGGATAAAACTGGTCACATGACTCCTGGTGGGTTGCATGATTGAATTGTGTGAGCTGAAAAATACATCCTCTGCCTCCAAGATGGGTCAGACCAGCAAGCATATTCACAAAACCTAGTTATCTTGATGGAGTGTGTGTATCTTTTTATTGCCTACATTTCAAACTTCTGTGATAAAGAATTTCTATGAAATCTTGCCCATTTTTCATTTCCATGTATATTTATTTGATTCTTATTCTGCAGCTCCCATATAAAAATGAAGTTTCTGACATTTTGCATGATTACTGCTCCATTTCCTGTAAATAAAGTTCTGACTTTTTTCAATTTCCCTTCATAGATTTAATGTTCAAGATAAAACAAACGACTGTGCTGCAATTGGATTAAATTCCAGAGTCTCAAAATCTTGCTCTGAATTCAACCGCTTCATTTGTGAGGAGAAGGTATAAAAACTCTTTGGGCAATGGAAATTCACAGCAAGATAGAATCAGAATTCTATCCTCTGTTCATAAACGCTGGCCCTGATAAGAAAGTTAACCTACTGTAATACAATTAAACAATTTAGAGTGAGCGTACATTAGAGTACATCCTTTCGAATGTATTTCAGGTTACATGGAATTCTACCATTAGATCTAATTCCTCCTTGAATGAATATAGTTTTTTTCCCCATGCCATCATTCTGCTAAACAACTAATTCCCACAACACTTTCAAATTATTTAGTAAGACTGTATTAATATTATCCTTCTCATCTTTCCTATTGCTTATCTCCTTTTCTACTTATGACTATAACTTTGTTGCTTGTATTTTTATGATTTATATTGTTTTATTTAGTTTCCTAGTACAATTTATGTTGATTCTATCACTAAGTGTTGTATCTTATGATTTATGATGAATGTATTTTTATGATGACTATGATCATGATTTATCATAACTTTTATGTACAATGAGTATTATGCACCGAAGACAAATTCCTTGTGTGTCTAATCACACTTGGCCAATAAAGAATTCTATTCTATATCAACCTGTATTATATTGCTGCTTTAAAAATAAATGTTTTCCAGAGGAATTGTGACCGTTATTTCAAATCAGCAAAATAAATGCCAATGACTATCAGACATTGGAAAACTGAACTATTGTACTGTACTCTGCTATACTTAGAGCAAAATATGTACATACATTCATTTCAAGCTCTTTTCATGCAAAAGCATTCTCCTGTCTTCTGTAGAAGGTTAACATTTTAAAGATGATTTGTTTGTATGACCTGTTAACATCCTGAGTTGTGTATGTTGTGCTGCTTTATGTCAACCAGTTGGGTGACATAAAACAACACAAAATTAGGGCTCTCCACGCCAGGCCGACAGATAAAAAGAAACTATGGTTGCTTTTGCCTCATAGCAGAAATAAAGACAGCAGTAGGATGGTTACTGTGCTCATAAACTTGCATAAAACAATGGGTCCATTTCTCATATATGCCTTTGCCTTTTATGATTACACTTTGCATGTTTTCAGTATACAAAAATAATTTGTTTCCTATTTGGTCTTTTAAAGGTTAACTTCCCCCTCCTAGAATATGCTGATGCATATTAGATGAACTATTTTGATCTCCTTGTATTGGACCTGTGGGAAAGGGCCTTTATGTGTCTCTATAATTTATTTCCACTAACAAAGAAAGATGTGACAAGGTGAATTTCATCATTTGGAGAAACATTTGACTGATTCAGTTTGTTAACTCGTTTAGTCCATTGACCCAGTTGTTGCCATCCAAAGCCAGAAGAAAATTGACCTTTCCATCCCACATGGTATCACGAGACTGGGGAGGTCTGCAGCAGCAGGTTCTGAATTGCAGGAAAGATCCTGTATGGAAATTCTCATTGATTAATTTAGCTACATTATTAACCTGGTGACTTCCCTTCCAAAGGGCAGAAATAAAGTGGAGGATTCACAAATGGAAAAAGTTGGAAGATTGGGGGGAAAACATGAATTTGTTGATCCGTCCTAACAAAAAGGATTTCTTTGTAAGATAAGAAAAACAATTGAGATGTTTTGGTTGGATAATGCAAAATAATTCTCTTTATCAGAGAAAACCATATATAGGAAGCAATCTAACAGAGATGCCTTAAATAGAGTATAAGATATATTGCATCATGGGAATGGCATGCACATTATTTAGCAGGCTCGAGTAAAGTTCCACTTTTTTGTTATGACACAAGGAAGCAATAAAGGTTACACAAAAATTGATGTGATATTTTACAATGGCCTTTAAAACTAATGGGAATGAGTTTTCCCAATAGAGACTAGTATGAGGACCTGCTATATGTTGATAATCAGGATTAACAAAGAAATATTAAATTTGTAATGCCTTTGAGTATAGTTATAACGGATAGTTTGGACTACTGAAGATTTGTTAAAGTTTTCTTCAAGTGCAGCAACTGTCTTTGAGAGTAGATGCAGATAGCTACTGGATTGCCTAAAGTAGATATTCCCACATTATTTCCTGTGCGTGCATTTGTAAATTAAATAAATATAACCACTTCCATGTCCTCAAAACTAACATTTAGAAGAAATTACATTCTTTACAACTAGTTGAGAACTGTTTACTGCTCTGAAATGGCAAGGAGTGACTTCACAGCAGAATTAGTTCCTGAATTTGATGTGGCAATGAAGCCACAGTATCCATTTACCAAGAACACAATTTCCTTCCTTTTAGGACAAAACATTTTGTTTGATTCATGTGTTTGGCTAAACAAAATATAATTTTGTAAACCCTGGCTTTTGACTCAGGAGACCATAATTAAAGAAGTCACAGTTTAGTATGACATGAGGATCCTATGAAAGTTCACAGCCATCTTGCAGTGTTTTCAGGAACAGGAAAAAGAACTTGCTCTTTGAGGGATCCTGAAACAGCCACCAAAGGGGACAATTAGGCAAATACCAGTATGTTAACATGAGCCTGATTTAGTCCGTCAAGAATGGGAAAGAAAGAGGGACAACATAGTCATATATGAGCCTTGTATCTTTTTTCAGATTACCTTCTAGATTCCTACTGATTAGTTTCTCACCTCTTCATAATTCTCTATTCACACAATTGTACAAAGACTTCTATATAAGTAAAAAGGCCTTGATGCAAAATCCTTGCAGCTTGGGAAGTATTTCCATCCCCCCCCCTTACAGTATATAATGCCAAGATGATCTTGATTCAGTAGCAAATATAGTAGCTTATAGTAAATGAAGGAGTGAGATCATGAAAGGATATAACTATTTTATTAAACAACAAGGTTTGCTGTTTACTCAGTCTTCACTCCTAGGCAGCCTTGCAGAGGTTTCTTTCAATCAATTAACTATAGGTCTTCTCACAAACCCAGTTGTAGTCATCATAACACGATACTGGACTCACATCTCCTGCCCCAATAGCAACACATTCTTTATCCATTGTTGCTTTAATTGGAAAGCTGTAAACAACAGAACAATTTTTAAAAATCTGAATTTGGTTCAACAAACTAGTAACGTAAAGCATGGGTCCAACCCAAAATAAAAAATATTAATGTTACAATTCAAGTTAGTTAGTTTATATGTTTCGGGAAACAATAGTGGAAAGAGGCTATCAAGGATTTTATAACCAGATTAAGAGTTACTTAGCCCAAAAGACCAGATAAATTTAAGAAAAGTAGTTAGTAATTAACTAAGAATTTATAAGAAACTTTAATTATTCCTTCCCTATAATACTATCATTAGAAAAACTAGGATATTTATACCGTTCATTTTTTATTGTTTGAGAAGGAACATGGAGAGGAAGAAATAAACTAAAATATGTACTTTTCACTAGCAAAAATACGATATACATGAAGAAACCAACATTGGAGATTAAATTTAAAAAAGGGCAGATTTAAAATGGCAAAAAACCTGAATTGAAATCTAACCTTAATAAAAGATCATTTTTGTGGTATCACTTTTTTTGCTTTTTTTTTCACTATTTCTAATTTTTTCTTTTGTTCTGGCTTATTAAAGGCAAAAGGCAAATAAGGTCTGATTATAAATTAAATTGGGAATTAATCCTAATGAATTAAAATATTGTATTCAGAATGCAGAATTAGCTCCTTCTGCCTGTTGGAGCTAAGACAAATTGAATTGTTGAATTCTTCTTGATTTTTTACCAGAAGTACAGTAAGAAATTATTTGGAGTTAAATGAATTGACAAATAATTATAGGATCAAAAGGAGAAACGTTCTTGTAGAACTTCAACTCATCTGAAATCACAGTGATCAACATTTCAATTCATTCTGGGCCAATAATGTTAATTAAATAACAACTGGATTTGGCTGCCTCAAACATTTACCATATGATAATGCCCCTTTATAATGAAAATGAATTGTTCTCTGCACACAAAAAATAAAGCAAAGAAGGAAGTAGACACTCCACAAGTTGTTGCTAGGCAAATAAATGTTGCTTAGCTCTCGAAAAATTGAACCAGAGCCTCCTCACCACACACTACTTCATGTGTAAGTCAGCAGTCATTTAATAATTATCCTCCTCAGCTTTATTGAATGTGTTAAGAGTTCCAGAATTAAATTCCCATCTAAAATTGATGCTGAAAATTGGCAAGAGACAGATCCTAATTTTAAATATAAATGTGTTGGATCAGCACACTGAAAAGCATAAAATAGTAAAAAAAATAAAAATCAAAGAGTTTAATAGATATATTTTAACAAAAGGCCCATAGAAAGTGAACAACTGCTGCAGCAGTACTTCATTCGTGTTTTGTGTACACAATTCTATGCCAGTGCTCCTTCAGAATTGTGAATGAACACAATTATGGTTCCAAATTCTCAGTAATAGTGTGCAAACTAAATGTAGACCTTTAAAAAATAGTAATGTGTTAGATAATGTGTTAGGGACTGGAGACATGGAAAGTATTGGATTTGACCAGTAAATATTTTATGAGCTCTAGATGGTCTGTATTAAAGAAAGGAAAAAAGTAAATATATAAACCTTTGAGAAAATACATTTATAAGTAGCTAGTTGCAATATTTTCATGTAGATTTAAAAAGGAAGTTGGACATCTATGAAAGGAAGCAGAACATATAAAATTATTGCATATGGGGAAAATAGATCTCTCCCTAAAACAGGTAAGGAGGGGGGAATGAAACATACAGGTTTATGTTGTGCTCTTTGTGATCAATCCACTCCCATTTTTTTGTTGATTCTGAATAGGTGAGTCCAATGAAATAATTAGCCATTGCTGTTTTGTTAATAACAAATTCCTGGTGAGAAAAATAAAATAAATATGGAAAATCAAAGGTTCTTATCAGGGACTATGAAAATCACAAGCAGCCTGAAGTAGTCTCAAAGAGACGTGTGAATTCCCTATGCTTTTCATCCTGATGAAGTGCCATATGAAAGAATTTGTTCTGTATACTGTTTACTAAGGGAGGTAGGTGAGAAACAAACATAAATCATGCTTAAAACTTCATGCTATTTTCAATGTGCCAGACATGTATACCCATCTGATAAATCACATGCTGCTTTCTTAGTGCAGATGGCTTTTGTTTTAAGATTGTGGAGATTCAGATGATTCCACAAACTTGTTCCGCAGAAGCCACCCAATGAGACATTGGAATGGTAGATTGGAGAAACCTTGTCTTCTACTGGTGATGGTGCATCTGTTGGCTGTACCCAACACACACAAACACACTCACACACAGAGAGAGAGAGAGAGACAGAGACAGAGACAGAGACAGAGAGACAGAGAGAGAGACAGAGAGAGAGAGAGAGAGAGAGAGAGAGACAGACAGACAGACAGACAGACAGACAGACAGACAGACAGAAACAGAAACAGAAAAAACATTTCATTTCCAGAAACACTGCGATTTGAGTCACCCAGTAAAGGCAAATTCTGACTGGAAGCAAATATAGAGTACTGCAGCCCTATTCCAAAATAGTTCTGAAGTTTCTCATATAGTCTTCTTCAGTTTAGACCCTAAAACATGTTTTTCTTTGGAAAAGAAAAAGAAGAAGACTGGATCAATCTCCAAAGCAGACAGCTTTGTTTTGGTATTCAGATTTACTTCAAGATTATTTTGAAGATGAACCCTTTGATATGAGAAGCTGAAATATTGTTGATGTTACTTATGCTCATCAATTTGCAAGCTTTTCTCCTTTCAGAGTTCACTGCAAAATAGAAGAATGCCTGGGTCCTTTCCAGATTATGAGGACATTTTAAAAGTAATTTAAACATATCAGCTATATTTACAGATGCTAAGAAGTTCTTGCTTAGCACAGAAAGTTATAATCCATAGTTGTTTCTCTTGCATCTAAAATAGTATGTTCACACTTCATCCTCCTCTATTTTAAAGTGCACCTTGAGCAGTTAACATTGTGTGACATTCACTCTCCAATTCAACAGTAGCCATCAAAACTAGAGTTTCCTTACAAGTGAAAACTATGTCTACTGGAGAACCCAATGACGTATATCATGCATTCCTCAGGATACACTTGCTCTCATTCCTCTCATCCATAGCCCTCATGGCAACGTTTAGATTTCTTTCAAGCCCTTGCTAACTCTTGATTTTTTTGACTAATCTATCCAAAATGTAAGGTAAGGTCTGCTTTGCATATTAACCTGGACATCTCTGTATTTCATACTCCATCCTACAATCCATATTTGAACTATGATACATGAGCTTCCTCTGGAATCCTAAAGTTATATATGTTTTGTCAGAGGATTGTGATTGCCTCACGTATTCACTGGATGGTCTAAAGATCCTGACATGATTCTTTTCCCAGATTAAAGGGGTATAAGAGCATAAACCCTTCAAGGATGAAGTTGGTTTCCTCCCAGGTGACCATAAACTTACCAGTTCTTTTGTGTCATTGATGATCACAAGGTTTGATTTCCAATCTTTACAATCAAGTTGGCTGATCAGCCACGTAGCTTTCTCTTCAGAAAACAAATAATCATGCCCTCTGAATCGTTCCCACCTTGGTTTCTTCAAAGGAATTCTGACTATAGCAAAAGATGCAAGGAATAAATGATTTTGAAAGTGATAATAATAGTTGCAGCTTCAGAAGTTCCAGAAAGATAAAGCATATAAAGTCTAAGTAGGGCAATTTTCGTCCCATCCAAATTTTATCATTGGAATTTGATTGTTATTTCCTGGTACCAATACAAGTATTTTTGTCTTATTTACAAGGCACATTACTATTTCTTGAGAAGGTCTTTTTTATAGAGACTGTGAGTCTGTTTTTCTGTTGCATATTGGAGGAAGATGCTGATCTAATTGCTGAATTTCCAATCTGGTTCTCCATTATTCAGTAGCTTCCCTGCTACTTCCTGCTTCTTGATCTGATTTTTCCTTTCCTCCAACATAACATTCAGTGAATGCAAAGAGTAACATTCAGTGAATGCAAAGAATGTACGAGAACTGTACCCATTGGCCTTTCTTTCAATTAAAATATGTATCCCGCAGGGCAAGAGGTTGCTTTAACTTCAGGTAGAGCTAATGCAACCAGAGCTTAGGTGCCAAAATCCACATGATCACAAGATAACAGAAATCTTTTGCATCTTTTTTCTTGTTAATTAGTGGCCATCCAGATTTTTGTAGCACAAGAGACTTGTTAAGGACCCCACCATTGACTGAAATATCTGGAACCCAGAACTGTCAAAGTGTTCAGGTTTAGTTTCTGCTGAAATGTCACTAGCCCAAAATAGGTCAGTAGAATTTCTAGAATTAAATGTTTAATCAACTGATCTGGGATTTTTAATATCTCATACAAGATGATTTCAGTTAATTGTCTTCTCCACTCTGTTATAAAAGAAACTTCTCAATTTATTTTGTCAAACCTGGTAGACAATCATAAACATGAGCTATTTTCCTCTACCTTGATATTCAAAGTTTCACTAGCAGAGTTACCACTTTCTCCACTCCCTTTCTAATCATCCCCAACCTATATACTAACCGATATGGAGGGAAAAATAATAATTTCACTTTCTACCTGTAGTAGGATGCAAGGGAGAAAGGGAAGAGATCTGCTCAGGAGCAGGGGGCCACACTAGGAAACAAAAAAATGGCATCCATCATTTCATCCTAAATGTAAATTGAATTCACATCATCAATACTCAGTGGTAGCCAAAATTTAAAAAAAAAGCAATCCTAAGTCATATATGCATCCTTCCACAGCAAAACTAGTCTTCTTTTTACACTAAAACAAATCAACTGCAACAAACAGGTAAATGCAACAAGTTCAAGCATTCTTTTGCAAGAAAATAAACCATGGACTATAGTAACAGTATACAAGGACATGAAGAAAAAGCACACACACCTTCGTTCAGCAAGTCAACCAATAAAGAGATTTTTACATATTTATTTTTTTAATTTCTTTTGTATTATCATTATGATACCAAGAAAAAAGAAGCAAAAGAAAAGGAGGGAGAAAAACAATGTAAGCAACATAATAGGCAGCTGACTATCAGATCTCAACTAACTGACAAATCTAAACTATCATAAGGATTAATATACTGTAATACACCATTAACCACTTCTAAGACATTTCATATCCAATTTCTAGTCAAAACATACTCTATTGAATGGTAAAATTATTTGGTTGGCAGAATTGAAATCAGTAAGAGGAAACAGAAAACTTGCATAAGATACATTAAAATAATGTAAATAACATGTAGGTTATATATTAAATTATACACAATGGAAGCCAAATTTGGAATGTGCTATGATTGCATGTATAGAATTGCAATCCAGAAATGATTTTCAAGTAAGATTGAAGCGTATATCAAATCTATTTTTAGTTATGAAGTTATTCTTGGCATTGAAACACATACCCATAATTTAACTAATTATTCTTCCACAGAGGGGATCAGATGTCTTTTCCAATAAAAAACAAACAAACTTGCAACTGGTATCATTTATAATTCAGTATAATTTGAAGGAATATATGGTTTGGTAAAGTTTAATTTAAAAGAACCTTAGGTTGAAATTTCAGAATTTATTCCATTCTGCAATGAATTAATTTCCAGTATTGTTGAGGTTTGCAGTATTACCACCTCATATGTATCCAAATTGTTTGTTGCATTTCTAGCATTTTGAGAGAGGTTTTTTTTTATTATTATTTTTAAAAGCACCCTGAAGTTTCCATGAAATCAGTAGAAGGAATGAATAATGTCGTCATCACAAACTCCAAAGGTCCATCAATCAGGTAACTCTTTGATTTTCAAATTCCTAAACAAAAGCTTTTCCCAGGAAGCAATCAACCATAATCCTGTGCCAGAATTGGGTTTTGTAGCTGTCTATTTGGTGTTGTCACTAGGCAGTCTAACTGGTCTTCCTGGCTTTATAAGAACCAATTATTCCCCTCTATATGCTGTAGACGCAGTTTATGAACGATACATCAGAAGACTATTTATGATACATAATGGGCTGTACTTTATATTTAGGTCCACTCCCTGTGATCATAGAGTCACAGCTGAGGTTTTTAATACAGCCCAATGCTCTCCCACATTCCCTTCATCAGCTATGTAAAGTCACATCTAGCATCTTAGCATGAAGCAGGATCTACGTGTTCCTCAGCCTGGAAGAGATGAGACTTTTCATAACAGGCATCTCTCATTTCTCAGCCAATCCCCTTAGTGCACAGTGAGGCAAAGTAATAAGCACACACTGCACCTCAATTGGATCAAATGAGTGGGATGGACATAAGGGTCCGGACCTGCTGCTTGTAGAATTTTGACACTTCCTCTATGCATTAAGTGATACAAGGAGGGCACCGTCCATCTGCTGGTTGAAGATGATGTGTGAGAGCATCTGGAAGTCAAGGGCAATCAAATGGAAAGAGTTGCTGGAATTCATGCTGTATGGCTGGTCATCTAAAGCTATCAGCTGAAGAACAACACATGTCAAACATTTTTTGAACTTATTACTCATCGACTCGCAACTGTTTCCACTACTGCATAAGCAGCTGAGAAGAATTTTGCCTCTGGTTACCAATACAGGTTAATAGTGCTGCAAAATGTTGGAGACACCTGGAGAGGTGTTTACTTAATTCTACTTAATCCCCTCCCATTCAATGGGGGAAATTCTTTTATGTTGAAAATTTCTCTTCTTTGATTGAGAAAAGGGAGTTTCAATGTTCAAGAATTTTCCCCACTGAATGCCACATAATACGGTTTTTTCTCAACATAAATCAAAGTACGTTTATTCCTCATCCAGTTATTTTCTAGTCTCAGAAATCTCTGGATTTTTATGTAGAGTTACCTGAAGAATTTTTTGTAGAGAGAGATATGTTCCCCTTGGGAAAGATCTGTGGAACTAAAAAGAAGAATATTTTTAAATGATAAATACTTCTGCTAAAATAAAATAGGAAGTAAAAGCAATTGTTTTGTCATTGTTATTCATTGTTAGATGAGGGAGCTGAACCAAGTTCAAAGGAAAGATAAGAGTCAAGCCTTTAGTTTAAATCTCAACTTTTCCATAGGGAAAATTCTGTCTCTCCATATCAGTCTATCTGTTTATCTGCCTCTTGTTTTCAATGGGATAATAAAGTATACTATAAAAAAGCACTCTGTGGAATGACAGTTACATATAAAACACTTCTTTGAAAAACCAAAAACAATAACAGCTGCAAACAATATAGGCTATTTATATCTTTACGTATGGAGGCATAATAAAACATGGAAACTCAAAACATTTTATAATAATAATTTAATTAATCTTATATGCTACCCAACTCTCATGACAATCAAAGATACTACAGTAAAATCAATAAAGCATAAAAAATAAAGATAAGAAGAGATAATGTATGTACTGTACATTATGGCTTTACTTTTTCATATATACATATACATATATATATATATATACGCATATACATATACATATACACACACACACACACACACACATAGAGTAGTATTTATCCATATTTCAAAACCCCAAAGCCCTTACAGTATATATACAAGACAGGAAGAAATGAGACAAGAGACAGAGAGACAGAGAGACAGAAAGAGAGAAAGAGAGAGAGAGAGAGAGAGAGAGAGAGAGAGAGAGAGAGAGAGAAACTTAAAATTTGCCCAATACTCACAAAAAACAAAAAATAGAGATGTCCCTGTGAGCTTGACTAGTAAAAGGATGACTCCAGGAGCTACGTGCTGCCAATTCATTCTGGTTAATCTGAAAGAGTTCAGTAGCAATTCAATGAATCCCCATTAGCAGGATAATTTTCCAGAGTTACAATTTATCTATCAATAGACATGACAAATTGAATGACTAATAAGTAAATTCATTCCCCCGCCCCCATTTTTTGTATGTTGTTTTAGAGTGGGTGGTTTTATTGCTGGCTGACTGCTTTATTCTTTTATTCTTTTTGTATACCTCTCAAAGTGTCATTATAAGATCATGCAAGAAAAAGAGAGATTAATTCATTACTTCCTCTGAAATAGGCTTTGTCAATGTTGAAGTCTCCACATGTAAAATCCAATACATCCAGACAATCCTTGGTTCAGAAAGTATCAATTCATAAATAAATTAGAGACCACAATATTAAATATTTTTTTTAAAAAAAACAGAATTGCAGAGCTAAATAATCACATCATGTTATTCTGATTTGGGATTAATGCAGGGGTGAAATCTAAATTTTTTTGCTACCGGTTCTGTGGGCGTGGCTTAATTAGTGGGTGGGGCTTGGTGGTAAGGTGACTGGGAGGGCGTGGCTTGTTGGTCAGGTGGGCGTGGCCAAGTCAATGTCACTTCTTTTCCCTTTTTTAACCTACAAAACACAACACAACACCACTGGCTCACCCACAATGTAAAAGCAGCTGTGCTAGACCCAAAATGGCCCCTGCAATAAGCAGGAACCTCATACAGCCACAAAAAGCCCAAAAAACCAACTTTTACACTTTACACACACAAAATTCTACATACAGCTTTGTGAGATTTTGTGTGTTTGTGTAGTTAGAGTGAAACACTACAGAAACACACCAAATCTCAGAAAGTGCACAAATATTATTTTATTTTAATTTATTTGTATTTTTATATAAAAGCAGCTAAATTTAAAACTTCCTAAACTTTAAATGGCTACGTCTAAAAAAAGAACAACTAAAAAAAACCCAATTAACTATTTTTTTAAAGTTTTTTCTGGTATGTCACTGCCTTCCTAATCTAGCATTCCCCAATCTTATGCAATACATTTAATAGAAGAGCCTATCCTGTGTCAAAAAAAGAACAGAAAATGTTTTGGGATAATATAGTCTGAATTGGGAATTATATTATCAAGCAGCAGCACTGACATGGTTGAAAGAATGGATTGAATTAAGAAATATAAGACTATTAACATTGGAAGGATATGATTTACAATTGGGTTGGCATGCTTTTTTATGGTATGGTAGAAGTAAGATACCCACATACTTTCAAAGACATTATATAAGAAATGCATTATTATTGGTATGGGAAAAAGTTAGAGATAAATATTATGTGAAAATACCAATATGGTTATCAAAAATGGAAGTGTTAATTCACCCAAACATTTTTTATCTTGGAAATATTGTTAGATATAAAGATTTGTTGAAAGGGAAACATGAACTGGAAGAACAGGGAATTGAAATGGATTGGTATATGTATGTGCAGATACAAACAAGTTATGAAAAAGATATTAAACTACAGGGTTTTTATTTAGAGAAGACTGAGCTTGATAAGATACTCACGGGAACAGAGGATAAACTAATTAAAAATGTTACAATTTTTTACTAAATATAGAACTAGAGGAAGAACAAGTTAAAGAAACAATGATAGTCTGGGCAAAAAACTTTGGATATTCAATTGAATTGGATAAATGGCAACAATTATGGGAAAGAAATTATAAATTAACAATGTCCACTGCATATAAGGAAAGTCTATATAAAATGTTTTATAGATGGCATATGCCCCCTGAGAAACTGGCAAAAATGTTTAAAGATAAATCAGCCAATTGTTGGAAAAGTCACCAGTTACCAGATTACCTATCATATTACCACATCTGGTAGACATGTCCTGAAGCGAAAAACTATTGGAATAAAATTAAGTTATGGATGAAGGAAATGATACAACAACATACAGATTTAAAACCAGAGCTGTTCCTATTGAGTATCTTACTAGAGAAAACTAGTAAAGATAATATATATTTGATTATACATGTAATAACAGCAGCAAGGATTGTTTATGCACAAAAGTGGAAAGCAGAGAATATACCTTCGGAGGGAGAAGTAATTTTAAAAAATTTAGATTGTGCAGAAATGAATAGATTAACTATGATGATAAAGGAAAGAGAAGATACAGAATATTTTAAGATATGGAATAAATTTTACTATTGGTTAGAAAAGAGATACAAATAAGTTTTTAAAAGAGATTGAAAAAAAATTGGTTGTAATTAGAATATTATATTAGTGGAAAATCTTTGTAATGGATTTGGTGAGATTGAAGACAGAAGAGGTAGAGAAGAGAAGAAACTTTTGAACATAACACCGAAATGTCACATGGAAGAAATGAATGATGCACTAAATGTTTGTCTTAAAAGATAAAAAAAATGTTTTTAAAAAAAGAACAGAAAATGTTCACAGGGCTAGCAAATTGCCCACTTTTGGGTGGGATTTCTAATTCCCAATCAATTTGTATACTGCCCTGAATCCTTCGGGAGTAGGGCGGTATACAAATTCAATAAATAATAATAATAATAATAATTGACTTCCACATACCACTCTAGGCTGGCCATGAACAAGTAGGAGTGGATTTTATGTGGAAAGATGAAAGCTCCGTTCACTTCTGAGACTCAGAACAAATTCCTCAGGCTCAAATCTTTCAGCAGTGTGTATGTAATTTTATTATTTATTACATCTGTATTTTGGACGAAAATCCTAAATTTTAAAAAAAGTAGTTCTTCATTTCTAACATGTCCATGGCTTGAGCTAAAGTGGAAAGCATCAAGCATTTCAGAGTTGAAATTCAGCCCCAAACCAAAACAGATCTCTTAAACAAGTTTAACTCTTATCTTGAAGCGTTTTCAGGTCATGTAATATTATTGGGTTTCTAAATTAGCATCTGTTATTTGATGGAATGTATAAACACACTTGAATTTTAGAAAAGAAAAAAACAGAAGAAATGGAAATTTTACTTATCAGGAGGATTCTGCAGAGATGAGAAAGTGCTCCAATATAATGCTTCAGCAGATGATAAATGACTGTCTGAACATTTTTCATCCCCTTTAGATTTATGCACTCTCACTCTTACTAAGCAACTGTTAAGCCCTAAGAATTTATACCACTTCTCCCTTTGTGTCAAGATGTAGGTGATAGACCATGCACGCCACTGTCTCAATTATGAAATACTTCCTTTTTCTAAAGCCTTCCTCCCGAGCACTAGTTTGGGTTAGGCTTGAATATTTATGGCTTGGATATTTTTGGACTAGAGCTATGAAAATACTTTTAGACAGTTTATTAGACATTCTCCAACCAACACTGCCCAAATTTGTTGTCAGACCCACAACTGTAGCCTTAAAGAGCACTAAATTGTAGAAGTGTTGAGCATAAATATCCAGAAACCACAATATGTTTTAGGTTGAGACCTGCACTAATCCTTGGAATGGCATTCCAGTGGCTATGCACAAAAGCTAAAACTAAAAATAAATTTGGGATTACATTACATTTTATTCATTAAACTGAAATGAAATCAGAGTTAGCGTTCATACAATTTCCATGTAATCATAAATTACAATTTATCAGCAATTGTTGGAGAAGTTCTGGAAGACACACCCTAGACTTTTGGGGGTATTGTGTAGCTCCTAAAACTGGGATTAATTGCCCTTGATTAATCCTGTAATCTTGGAAGTAATTCTCAGTGCACTTTCTGGGTAAAAGTGTCCTATAAGAAAAACTAATTCATATATATCAGGAGTGGCAAATCTGAGGACAGGGTTGTTGTGGCTTCTGGGTGTTGTAGGACATCTGAAAAGCTGTAATTTTTTTTTAAAAAATCAGTTTTAGTCCAAAGCTGGATAATTTAAATATCCCCCTTTTACAGTTTCCTCATCTCCTACTACCTGAGCAAGACATAATCTATTTTCACCACCAGCCAGCCACAATCCTGAAATCAACCCCTTCAATTTTTTTTTTAATTACCTGGTCAGGGAGCAAGGAAAGAGTACAACCAATGCCTTCGCAAGGAGAAAAGAACCCACCTATGGTACCATCCTTCCATCTGTTTGTCTTCCATCTGTTTGTCTTCTGTACATTTAGTGCCAGCAATCTGCAAGTTGAATGTTGGAATGCCTTCTGACACCTTGAGAATCTTTTGGAATCTTCCTGGATAGAAAGAAATAAGAAATGGGGGAATGTATACTTTAAGGGGAAGCTTTCAAAGTACAGTTGGATGCTTCATACTAAAAAGATACGGGAATCAAATCTGAGCAAGCAGAATTTGAATTTGGATAAGACTGAATTATTGCTGATTTGGGGGGACTGGACTTCTGGATCCAGGAAATATGCCTATTCTGGATGGAATCACACAATAAAATCACAATCTGTGTGTCATCTTAGATCCGCATTGAAAATGGAAGCTATATATTATCTATGGCAGAGCTAGCTTTGGATGAAAAACTGATTGTGCCCCTCCTTGGAGGACCAATCCTTCTAAACGTAAGCATTATAAGTCTCAGGCTTAGACTTGTGAAAAATGTTTTTTATGAAGCAGCCCTTGAAGACAATTCAGAAATCGTAATTAGTTTGTGATAGGATGGGTGTAAACAACACTTCTCAGGTATGCCATTTTAGTTCCATTTTAAGACAACCACTCTGCTTCCTGATTACTTTCTGAACCCAATTCAAGATCCTTACAACAGTGAACAAAATTTTATATATCTTAGACCCAAGTTATTTGCAAAACCTCTATGATCACATATTCTGCCCACATCTTCCGTGAGGCATTCTTTGCACTGTATTTCATCACTGTACCAACTGTCAGCCATGCAGTCTTATTTATAGCTAGAGTAGAGGAAGTGCCTGGAGAAGGGTGTCCTAATCATTTCCTCTCAAAGTGATTCTTCATCTAGGAGCAAGATATGATAATGTATTTTTCTGCCCAGTGGGTGTAAGAAAAATGAAAGTCTGCAGAATACACTCAGTGCTCTTTATCAGCATATGAATTGGTAGTCCCAGCCTAGGTTTAAATGCTAATTACCTAACCACAATAATACCCTTTCAGAAACAATGAGCAGACATAGCTTGCCCAAGGTTTCAAACTGCATTTTGAATGGGGTGCTTTAAAGTCATTTTAAGAGAATCTGTGCATGTCACCTGCACCAACTCTTAGAGAATGCATTAGCTGAACTAAATTAAATGAGGTTCCAAAACAGATCACTCAGCTCCCATAAAGACAGAAATACAGCTACTGAGAGTTGCAAATTTGATGAGATAAGAACGGGAGGAGATGGAAATAATATTTTTATCAATTTCCCTCTTCCTTCACTTCAAAATTACCTTCCTTGGGCAAAACGGAGTACCCAAATCTAATTCCAGGAGGGGATAGATTTGGGACAAAAAAAGAAAAAAACCTTTCAGAGAAATTATAGGCAACCAGGATTAACACCAAAAGAAGAGAAATGATGGATGGCCACAAGGAAGACAGAACAGCTTCCTGGGGTTTGGTAGATATGGTGGCCAGAGGCAGGAGTAGGATCTGGGCATGGTGGCATCAACCAGGCCAGGAGAGCTCAGAAGGGTACGGAGAAGTATCTAACAGCAATGGATATAGCAAAAGGGAAACAAAGAACAGTAGCATGCATCACAGAGTAGATCAGGGATGTCAAATCCGGCCCACAGGGTGCTTAGATCTGGCTTGCAGAGCCATCCTGAAACAGTGAAGGACTGGCTTGCCATGCCTCTGCCAGTGAAAACGGAGCTCGGAAAGGCCACATGCAGCCCACATGAAGCTCTGTTTTCACTGGCAGAGGGCTGCAGGAGGCAGTTGCAGCCAAAAACGGAGCCCAGGAGGGCCGTGCACCCCCTCCCGCACTCCATTTTTGCTGAAGGAGGCCATCACAGCCGAAAATGTGCCAGACGAGGCCTCTGGATGCCTGAACAGAGTTTCTGGGGGACGGATATGCCCTTCAGAAGCTCCATTTCGGCCTACAACATGCCAGGCGAGGCCTGCGCAGGCCTAAACGGAACTGCAGAGGAGCACACATGGCTGAAAGGCTGGAGAGGAGATTGCTTGCTAGATAAGTGACCCGGTGTGGCAGGTTGGGGAGAGAAGTATTTGTGGGGAGTATGAAGCATTTCAGTGGGTCAGGGAGGCCTTGGGTGGTTTTAGGCAGGTTTGGGGCAGGTGGCCTCTTCCATCACTAGGCCTCCCCATGGCCTTCCCCACCCTGAAATATCTCATATGCACTTAATGAAACTCACATGCAATTAGCGAATGTGTTTAAGGTAAGGGATTCACTCCCAAGAATCCTCAGGTTACGAATGGAATGGGCAGGCTTCATTACATTCGTAACTCGAGGACTATCTGTACTATACTGGAGCATGAGATTTGGGAAGGAAAGTAGATCCTATGATGACAATGCATCTGATCAGAAATGCTATATTGATGCTATGATGTCTATTAACTGGGATTTTATTATTAACTTTTATTATTGCTTTATTATTATTTATTATTGCTTAAAGCATTGTAAGCTGCTCTGAGTCTTCAGAGAAGGGCAACATATAAATCAAATTTAAAAAAAAAAACTTGTTCATTTCTTAAATTATACACACACACACACACACACAGAGAGAGAGAGAGAGAGAGAGAGAGAGAGAGAGAGAGAGAGGGATTAATATTGTGCTGCAACACAAGTGATACCAAACCAAGGCAAGGTTGATATTGGTTTGAAACATGTTAACCTGAGTATGGAAAAACAAAAGGAGGGTAGATAGTAGATGCTGGAAAGTCAGAGAGACCAGTTTGCCTTCTGGTGACGGGAACATGGCATTCTCAAAACTCCAAAGATGTCCATTGACCCAAAAATTTGTCTATATTGTAAAATAACAATTCTACAGTCACTAAATAGAAGTAGCAACAAGTAAAGAGAAAAGTTTAATCAGCAACAATAAACGTAGGCCGATTTATACAACTATATAACTCTAACCACTAGATGGCAGTAAAGAGATGCCAAAAATCGACTTTTAACTAACTTCTCTGGGTCAACCTTATTTTTATGGTCCAGATCTGGTAGCTGTAGGGTCAAATACTTGAACCACCACCACCTCACCACCCTCACCCCCTGAATGGCTGCAACAGTTCATGGTTTGGGAAAGATTTTATTGAAAAACTCACCATGGGAAATCCAGATTTCTTTTGCAGTCAGCAAATGTGGCAAAATTCATCATTCTAATCCAGACATGTCAAGCTCAAGGCACACGGGCCAGATGCAGCAGTGTTCTGACCCAGCCTTCACAGAAGCAAGAAACAGACTCCTCACAAAGAAAAACCCCTCTTTATTTACACCTCGTGAATTAACTGCATTCACACACAAAGTGCAGGCAAGAGTCCTGCAAGGAGTTAACTGAAGCAATAGGCCTTATCAGCTTGTTACGATAATTGCAAGGCCATGAGCTCCCAGCCGAAAGGCTGCAAATTAAATCAGTTCAAATAAACAAACCTCAGTTCTCAATGAGCAAAATCTCCAGAAATGCAAATAGTTGTCTGCTACAACTACCACTCCCCTTTCCTCCTATTTGTTCCCCAGCCAGGGAGGAGCCATTCAGAGTCCACATTTGTTTTGTTTCCCAAGTTGACTCCTTGTCCACCGTTGTTCACCTCTCCTATCTGCTCTGAGCATTCATGCATCTGGAATAGGCCCCAGCTGTTCTTCCTCCTTACTTATCTCTGACTCCAAAGGCAGCTGCCTCTCCGGTGGCTGGGAAATGCCTGACGGCCCTGGCTCTATCTCTGTGTCCGACACTGAGCATCCATCAGAGCCTTCTCCAGGCTCTAGAACTGGCCCACGTTCTTCCCCAAGCTCTTCATCGTCTGAGTCTGCCGCCAACTCCGCTGGCAGCTGGTGAACCACAACAGGCAGTGCCTGGCAGCAGTTGCAACTTGTTGGCCTCACCTCACCTGGTCTTGCAGAAGTGATCGCGCTAAGCAACTTGCAGCAGCGGCAGCTTGCAGAAGCAATCAGAGGGGGGGGGTTAACGCTGGGCAAGCAGCAGAGGCTTTTGGGCAATAACTACAGGTTGGAAGCTTTAGATTCAGCTTTGCCCTTGTCTTCTGGAAATAAAACTGTGTTAGGAGAGCTCTCCTACCATTAAAATGGGGCAAGCCATTGCTGCTGCATTTGGGGATCCGTGTTGCTGAGGGAGAGCACAGCCTCAGGCAGGCACGCAGGCAGGGTAGGCTTCAGCCTAATTTTCTACCCAGAAACAATTCAGAGGCTTCATTTATATTTCCACCCCCTGCACCCCTGCAATATGATTCTGGCAGTGTGCGCAAGTGTGTGAGTGTGGGGGGTTTGGAAAATTAGGCTGAAGCCTGCCCATGCTGTTTCAAGGGTGAGCTTGATCTAACCGCATCTGCGATGTGGCATGCAGGCCTTGAGTTTGACATGTCTGATTTAGCCAGTGCGACTTGTTCCATCCCAACCCAGCCTCAGTGAGTGGTGTGGAGTCAGCCACGCTCACCTGGCACTGTAAGTCGTCATAGTCTTACATGCAACTGGTTCTTTGAGGGCAACCATAATGCTGATGTGGCCCTTCTGTAGAGCCTTTGTAAAGAACAAGGAGGTTTAGCAATCAACTACAATTTCCAAGTTCCTTGTCAAGTGTGAAGAGATTTTGCAGAATGTCCTATCATATACTAAATGATGAAATTTCTCCTCAGGCTTTTAGAACTATGTTATATGAATATTGTAATATGAAAAGCCCATCTTACATACTGTATTGTACCTCATAAATGGTAAATATTCTAGTTAATGCAGTATTTTTCTCATCTGTTTTAATGGCAACCAGGCAAAGAATATATCTGCAAAGAATATGTACAAAGAATTATTGTGGTTTCTTTCATCCATAATCAGTTGGAAAAGAATATGTCCAGACAGACATTCAACAAGTGCAAACGTCTTTAGTCATCTGATAAAGAGGCCCCTGAGGAATCTATGTTTGATGCAGGTTAGAGGAGAAAGTCCTCCCCACCTTCCAGCTGCTATAGTAATGTTGCAAGCAGAAATTCAATAGGTCAACAAGAACATGCTGCAAGTAGAGCATATGCAGAACACCCATCAGAAACAGATAATATATCATACACTGATGGTATCCCAAATGAATATATTCAAGAGTAACAAATATACCTGAAAAGAATAGCAACTGATTTAATCCAAAAAGCAAATTTTGCTAGATATCCAAGCCTGTGTAGAGGAAAGACATTCTTAAGAGTTTGGGTGGGATAATCAATAGCAAGCTGTGAGTAGTTAGCCTGCACTGTAGCTAGCAATCTTGCACACAAAGATTAGAGAAATGTTCCCTTTGGATCAGCTGTGAGGCCCTTAAATTACAACCTTATTGCTATTCCCTCAAATCTTGCAAGCAATTAGGCTACCCAGCCCATCAAATAACTTTTGAGTTTTCAAAACTAGCACATTAAAATCCAATATATTTAACCAATCCTGCCTCAAATCCATTCCATGGACCTTGGAAATACATCCCTTCACCTTTTACATGTAGTTTTGCTAAGTGGTACAAGATTCACTAAGACAAATGGCACTAAGACAAATGACACAATGGCACAACTAACTGAACTGAATACATTTTATTAATAGGTAGAGAATGTGTGTGTCATAAAGATATAAATATTGGTTTTCACTTTAGATAATATTCACACAGTTGGTAGTAGTGTCACATGTTCCTTTCATTCATTCAGCTCTTAATACTCACAGCTTCATTAATTCAATCTAAAATATATGCCTAGTATATCTAAGTGCCCCTCTTAAATACAGGGATATTTCCCATGGTAAAAATATTGCCATTATGTCTGTCAGTTTTCCTTAGCTTCTCTAGCCCTATCATTCTGAGTCAGCATTCTGTGTGGTCAGGATGTCTATACCCCCTAATAGCTCTAGAGGAGACCTATCAAATCTTGGTTGCAAGCATTTGACTGATGATAGCAAAGGATTAGAGTTTGTGGTTTGTTTGGAGAGGGAGAAGGTTGGTATTTGTATTTTTTTATTGCCATCTAGTGCTGATCCAATTTTCTGCAGCCCTGATCTTGTAGCCTTAATCTTGAAAGCACTGGGGAAAGCTGTTAAAACAACTTTTTTACTTATTGAACAACTGTTCTGTGTAAAGACACAGAAGTTCTACCAAGGAAAAATTGTTTCTGCTTGATTATGTCAAGCAGGGGAGGACAACATGAAATCTTCAAGAAGATGCTGAGAAATGTAATGTTAGCAAGAGCTTTCACCTGTAAAAGCTTAAGGAAAAACCCAAATGGTAACTGGTGGTCGCTGATACCACTTGTGTTGCTGTAGACTAAACAAAAACACTTTGCAAAGCAGGAGCTGCCAATATTGACCTTTATGCTACTACTACCATAAAATGTTTTGTAAAGCAAAACCAGAAATGATTGGGCAAAAGGGAATTCCAGCACTCAAGCTACAAGCTTCAGCAGTGACTATAGAGGAGACCTTCTTCCAAGCTAAAACTTGCCTTTCTACTCTCGGTATCCTAAAGAACTTGAAGCACTTATTTTATTTCAATCCCTAAAGGAAATGCTGGCAGGGACTTTGCAAGCATAGATATTATATGTCTATTCATTGATTGCTCTTTCTAGGTTTCCCTACTGTGATTATTATACTCCTGCT